GCTTAAAAGCCTGAATTTTGCCTGAAACTCTCAGACGAAACGTTTCATTAGAGAAGAACCCGTCCAGAGGACCTATACAATTTTTTTTCTTTTTGATTTTTTACCTGGATTACTGAGATGCATCAGGACATAAATGGACTGTACTTATATAGCGCTTTTCTATCCGTCCAGGACACTCAAAGCTCTTCGCACTACAATCTGTGCCCTCATTTACCCATTCACACAGCCCTCTATTAAGTCTCTACAAAGGTAACATGTACAATCAACTATGGAGACTAATCAGTGCCAATCACATTCATACACTGATGGGACACACATCAGAGACATTAGGGGTGAAGTGTCTTGCCCATGGACACAACAACTGAGACATTTGGATGGGGGATTGAACCTCCGACCTTCCGGTTCCAGGACAACTCCCCTGACCACTCTGCCACAGCCGTCCTAAATGTCACAAGAGTTTTGCCAAAAGAACGGCACAAATCAAAACTGATTGCAAAACAAGTCTTAAATAATCTATATTAACACTTTTGTGTACAGTACATTTTGTCTGAAGGGTATATTATTTTGAAAAACAACTTCTTTTTTTTTACATCCATGCTCGACTCAGTTATAGTTATGTATTACGCACCAACAAACTCACCATTGAGTAAATCCATCGTCTATAGCTAGTGCTAGTCTGAGCTGACCTCCTTCCAATTCAAATCAACAATTTAATTTAAAACTGTACGTCAATTTCTGGACAAAATGCTAATCTATTCCTGCTGGAAGTGTTGTAGACGCTAGCTACAGTTCTATCATCAGCATAATGTTAAAATAATGTTTATAAAATATGAACTTTGAATGAAGGCTCCCATTTGCTTGGGCCTTTGCTGCTAGCCGTTAGCTAACTGATCTGGTTCTCCAGGTAAGATTGGCCACAACTTTCCCACACATCAACCAACTTTCGTATGACCTATCCCTTATGAACCAAAGCATTTAAGCATAATCTCACTTTTTGTTTTTATCAGCTGATGTTTGCTCTCCTGCTTTTCTACAAGACAAAAGCACAGCAAAACCAGAAGCATTGTGGTTTGGTTATTGTAAAAGTCCAGTCAATGTCGACAGCAGGTAAAGTTCAAAAAGAGAAAGCAAAACGTGAGGGCAAATCAGATTTAAGGAGAGTTTTTGGAGGAATCGTAAGGATTTTAATGCAAATTTCTATAAAGAAAAAAAAATAAACTCAAAGTCCAGATGGAGCTAAATGCTTTCAAAACAACAAAAATAAATATATTTTTGTGTGGTACACATTCCTGAGATGGGAGCGTTTGCTCTAAGTTTTGTTTTGAGGTGTATGTTTGCTTTCTTTTAGTTTCCAAGTGATTCACAGGCACACACATTTTCAGGCATGTCACGAACGTCACATAGTGTCACATGACCTAAGAAACATGCAGATGAAATACAAACCCCTTTTTTTTCACAGTATTCTGGGTCGAAGACTGAAAGTGTCAGAGTTGGATTGCGAAATGCTGCAAGCGCAAAACAAACAAACAAAAATACAAAAAACAAAACAAAACAAAAAAACATAGATAAGAATAACCTGAGGGTATTTCTTTTTTTGCCAAGTTCAGTTGGGGTGTGCCACTGGAACGTTAGCCAAAGCTTCCATGTTCTCAGCCAACACAAGTCTGCCCCTTTTTTTAAATGGGAGACTGTATCCAGCTGAAAATAGAACAGTCTGCAGAGAGATGAATTCTGCAATAAATATGATACTATCTCGCAGTGAGCCGACGCAGGCAGCAGGAAGATCAGACAGAGAGAAAGATGAATACTTTTCACCAAAGACTATGTTATTCCCTCTATCGGCCTCTAGAGAATGCTGATGCTCCATCGTTTTATGACTTTTTCTGTTCTTCAGTAAAGCAGACAAGAAAATGGGGAAAAATGGAGAAAAAGGCAAAGAAGTGTTTTGTAGACAGAAAACCTGATCTCTCCTGGTAAAAACGAAAAAAAAAAAAAAAAAAGAAGCTCCTGCATGTTTAACAAAGACAGTGGAAGCTGCAGAACTGGTTGTCCCCAGTTGTACAAGTGCAGACGAATGAGCTGTGGTGTGGTTGAACTTCCGTAGAAAACACACACACACACACACACACACACACACACACACACACACACACACACACACACACACA